AAACTTTAATGGTTTAATGAGATGATTCCCTCAAAGTGATTTCATCATAGAATTTGACTTAACCTATAGTATACAAAAAAATCCTAGAGATTTGTGTTGTCAGAAACCACCATGAGTGAGAACCTCTGCTCAGCTTCATGGGGAACTGGGCACTGAAGGTGAAGCAAACTTTTGACAAATGGAGAAAGAGATCCAGGGGGAACTACTGGGAAGCAGACATCTGCACAGGTCATATGTCGGCCATGACTGAAGAAATTTAAGGGAATAGTGGGAAATGCAGTTAGAAAAATAGGCAGAGGAAAGGCTGTCGAGACCCTTAAATGTCAGACAAGGAAACTGAGGCCTGTGGGCATGGATGACTGAAGAAATTTAAGGGAATAGTGGGAAATGCAGTTAGAAAAATAGGCAGAGGAAAGGTTGTCGAGACCCTTAAATGTCAGACAAGGAAACTGAGGCCTGTGGGCATGGACGTTATTGTTTCAAAAATAATTTTACAACTTCTGTACCCTTTTCACCCAAGTTAGGACTTGTGCCTTTGGTTATGTATCTCTCAAATTAGATTCAGTTGTGCTATCTCTGTGAGTTTTGGTTGAGGACTATGGAAGGGAAAGGTAAGAAGACTGAAAGGTGGAGTAGTAGACTGGGAGAAAACCCATACAACAGCTAGCTTTTCTTTTTACCAAAATGCAATTTCTCTGTGCTTTACATGGCTCATCCCATTTAATTTTCACGAGTGCAAGTAATGTGAAAGTGTGGTAGACACTATTATTGTCTCCATTTTACAGATAAGGAAACTGAGGATCAGAGAGGTTAAGTAGCTTTCCCGAAGTTACATAGCCAATAGGTGACAGAGGCAGAGTGGAAACCTAGGCTACTTGACTGCAATGCTTCCATTTAATCCACTCCTTAATATCATGCAGAAAAGGACTCTGAAGACCTTGATTCTTTAATTCTAGCTCTGCTACTAAATAGCAGTGGCAGGATGAGTTGTCATTAACTGGGCTGGGAATCCTCTGAATTAAACCAATGGGCATTTTGTTGATCTTGCTGTTACACAGTGAATGAAGAGTCCAGTTTTGTGCACATTGAGGCTGAGATGCTCAGGGAACATTCAAGTGGAGATGTAGAAATTCGGACAGACATTCAGAAGAGGAGGCGGCTAGATATTTATGTCTGGACTTCAGGGGTACATCTAGGCTAAGATATAAACTTGGGACTTGTCAGCATGTAGCTGTATTTAAACCCTTGGGACTGGGGGAGATCTTCAAGGAAAGGAGTGTAGTTAGAGAAGATGTAGCAGACCTGAACCCTAGGGAACTCCAACACTTGGAAGATAATATCCTGCAGAGGAGATTAAGGAAGAGTGGAGGGGGGTGGGAGAACTTGGAACCAGGTGAGGAAGATGTTTCAAGAAGGGCCCTGTTTCGGATTCAACTGAGACCAGATTTAGTAGCACAAGAACTGAGACTTCTCGAATTTGGCAGCTGGGGTGAAGGGTAGGGAAAGGTGCAACATCACAGCAACTTTGATAAAAGCCTGAATGGAGCGTGTTCAAGAGAGGAAAAGAGAGGAGGAAGCAAAAACCCTGAGCAGCGGTGTTCATACCCAGAGACTGAGGCAATACAGGAACCAATGCCCTCATTACAGAGTCCCTTTACCAGAGATGTCTCTTATTATATTTTATGCTCCTTGAAGGACTAAGAATGTGATTTATCCTTCAAATGCCTGGTACAAAGTTGGTGTGTAAATAACAATTGCAGAATTCAATTAAATTTTTAAAAGAAAATGAACATGCTCCTTAAATCTTATGAAACATGCATAGCAACACTTTAGCACTTCCACAGCACAAAGATATCCCCAAAAGTACCATGTTGATAACAGAAATTCACTGGCGTTTTATTCAACCAATGAAGGTCAAATTTCCATTATGCGATCATTTATTTGGGGGAAGAATCTTTTAAATGCATATCTTATAGCTCTGGTTCAGTTGTTGAGGGACAGGGAGAATCTCATCCCTGCCAGCACGTTGATTCGTGTGAATTGCAGCTCAGTGAAACCCTTCAGGCATATAATTTATCTTTTCTTTGGCTTATGTAGTAAATGCTTCATTTATTCATGAATTCTTGCCTTGTTTTAATTATGCTATGCTCTGAATGTAGTTTTCTAAGGCACAAAAATAAGACTGTCGTTCTGAAAACACAGAAGATTTGTGTTTCCCCTAGAATGAAATGGTGGTATCTTTATCCCAATTCACAGCTCTGCGGGTTTGTGGCTGGAATTCCAATCTAGCAAGGAGCTTGCAGTGAAAGTGGGGGAAGGGACTGTGGAGTGGGGGAAGGGCAGCTGACACGGCTGAGCCCAAGGCATAATTTACCCGAAGAATTCTCAATCAATACATTGACCTCCATCTATGTATAATGTGGTACTCCCACCAAGAAAGCCATTGATTGAGAAGTTTTATTCATGTTACTTTCTGAGAGAGCTGGATTCTCTCATCATACTCACAGAACAATTGTGCCCCCTGCCCTTCACCATCCCCCCAAATACAGAACTGTGCAGCCGGGGATCAGATGAAAAATTTTAACCATCAGAAGACTGTGTTTTTTTGTTTTGTTAAAAATCCTTGCAGACATATATACACATTTACAGGCTGAAGGAAAAGTGGCTATTTCATAATTTTTCTCTGTTTTATGTATATATAGTACAGAGTTGACACTCAATATTTCAAATTCCAAGGATACCACCAACAAAAAAGGGAAACTGTAGTGTAACAAAATCAGATGCAGATTTCACTGGTGAATCCGAGGGAACTAATTCATTTATTCAGAAAGGAAGAAGACAAGTTATGATTTTGGGGTCTTCCGAGAGATAACTTCAAACAAAATATCACCCATGGGTTCACCTATATTAGATACCTGCCATGTTCCCAACACACACCCCCGTCTTCTGTTGCACATCTCATTTTGGAACTCATTTCCCTCCAATGGAGGTGCTGTCTCCAAGAGTTGTTTGTTTGTTTGTTTGTTTTTAATAAAGGAAGCTGAGTTAATAAAGCACAACTCAAAAGCTTTTCCCCACTTTTTCTTAGACTAGGAACGGATGTAACGTAGAGGGCTTTTATGGTTAAATACAAGGGTCTGGTGTCAGATGCTGAGCTGGTTTACTTAATTAAGATGGGGATTTGGATGAGCAACTAGACATCTGTTCAAAGATGGGTAAAGCACAGTCCTTCATTGTCTTCCCATAAATAACTCAATCTTTTCCTAACTCAGGCAATGATTGCCTTGATGCCCATGCAAAAGAAACACGCGATTATTAAAAAAAAAAATCATGACCTCAGAATGGCTGTAGGAGCCCATGACCAATAATGAGAACTCAACAAGGGTTTCCCTGCTCAGGGAAAAGTAGTAAACAGTTTCTCAAATATTTATGAATATTGATGACCTGTTTATAGTCCCCAGACTGATGGAATGCTCCCTGGACCAGCTAGGCCAATTCTCCTCATGTCTGGGCATCCTCCCCAACACTGGCTGCCCAGCAGGGCACCTGGCACCCTGCGTGGCAATCGCAGGTTTATTTATTCACTTTCTTTCTCTTGATAAACAGCAAACCCCACGAGGGCAGAGACTCTATCTTTTGTCCCCCACTGTGGCCTCACCTGTGCCTGGTGCAGGGTCACACTCAGTAAAGTATGGATTCTGGATGCATTTGAAGACTTACTTTTGAACTACGCAGAAAGCTATTCAATCAGTTCCTTGAACTGGTGCATTTTGAGAAACGGGCATTTGAAGGGGAATTATTTAAACTTCTAAAAGAAGTTTTGAAAATAAGCTCTTTCAGTCAAAATTTATAGAGCCTAATTATTTTTTCTCAATTTTAACTGTCCGGAGTTTTCAGCTGGTGTCTAACATTCACAATATAGTCTTTGATGCCACCTGGATGCGTTAAAACCACAGATTAATGTGATACTCACTTTCCTTAAGGAAAATAATTTATGTATGGTGCTTAGAAGAGAGCCTGACATATTGTAAAATGTTCAATAAATGACAGCCAGTGTTATTGTTAGCATCTTGGTGGTACATAGTTACATCATTAGTAAGACAAAGATATTGATAACAGTGATACACACCATATCATAAAAACCTGAGCCCATCTAATTTTTTCCTGGCTCTAAACTCAACTAGAGGCACTTAACTTTATTCCCAAGTTTTGAAAAATGTTGTTATTTAAAAGTCTGTTAACCAAGGAAACAGATGCCTTAAAAATATATCAGCGTTTATTTCCTTTATTCAAGGAGTTCTTTTTCTGCCTAAAAATAAACAAGCTTTCTGGAGGTTAAAAGTAAATGCTCTTTTTAACGGCAAACAGGGCTTGCCTTTTTTTTTTTTTGCTCAGGAAAGAAAGCAATGGAGTCAAATCTAATTTTTACCAAGGTATTATTCTCACTTGATGGAAAATAATTAGTATATAAAAGAGTCTGCCTAGAGCTGTAAAAGCTATCTATTCAAACCCTCATCTTAGTGTAAAAGATAGCAAAAGATCAACCCAGGCTATTAACAGTAAGGAACAAAATGTGTTCCAACTAAATCCTGTAACCATACAGTATGTCGAACAAGCTGCTGAGACGAGGCACAGTATTTAAATCTTTTAGGATTCATTTTTATTCCACTAATGCCTTCCGCTGCAGACTCCATAGATCATAAATGCGACCTGTCTACCACTGCCTTTGATAAATGGAAGGACGAATTCATCTGTATGTAACTCACCTCCTCTTTTCTTCTACATAAAACAGACACCACAGCTGTTATTGTTTTTCCAACAGATGTGTCTGCCCACAGAAACATCAGGGAGACACCGCGCTACAGTGTGCTATTTGTACTGGAGGGGTCAATGGCTTGTTACCTTGTCTGGGGCTCTGTAGGGCAACATCTGTGCAGGGCTCTCACCCCAGAAGTGCCCCCTGAGCATGCATTCAGACGCAAATGGATTTGCTCACTTACCTGCCCTGCGGGGACATCATCAGGCTGCCCTGAGACTCCAGGAATCTCATTGGCCTCCTCTTGAGGTTCTGCACTCTTGGTTTCTTGTGGACTGTCAACTGGTGCCTTTTCCCGTCCCTTGTCCAGTTTGAAGAATTTTTCAAAAAAGCTGGAGTCCTTGGACTTGGAGGGGACTGCTTCTCCTGACTCAGGTGGGAGAGGCGCTGGGGCCCAAATGGCAGCAAGGGCCTGGTCTTGGGCTGGGCTGGGCACTGGGGTTTTATTGGCAGCGTGCTCTGGTGCAGCTGCTCCAGGAGGCGCCAGGCTCTCACTCGGGGCTTTGTTTTCTGGAGCTGTATGGGAGCTGACATCAAGCCGCACTGATCCAGTGGATGAATCCGTGGCTTGGTCTCCAGTACGTCCTGGTACAGGCCGAGAGAGTGTCAAGAAAAAACGAGATTTAGCAGCTGGTGCCTCGGGTTTGGCCTCTTTGCCAAGACTCTTTCCATTGGCATCTGGAACAGTTCTTATCTCCACTGTCTTGGGGGAAGAAGAGGCCACATTATTCTTCTTGACACTTATTCCCAAATCAACTGTAAACACAAACATAAACAATGGTTATTCAACCAAACCAGGAAATTCAAGGATTAATAATGGACTCCAAATGTTTTATATACAAAGGCCATAATGCAAACTGGGACTGTGTCATTTTCCATTTGCTCTGCAAGGCAGAAGCTAGCTATCTAGACGTCTGCTGACCCTGCTCTGCTTGGGAGAGGGGGGCAGAAGGTTGGTGAGGAGCGAAAGCCAACGATTGGAAAGTCACCAGCTGCCAGGCGCTGTACTTCAATGTGAGTCATCATTTTTTATCTTCACGGGGATCCTGTAGAAGATACTTCTATGATTTCAACTGGAAGCCAGTACACTGGTGGAGAGCTTGGGCTCTGGAGCTAGAACAAGGTTTCTCAACCTTCAGGACTATTGATATTTGGGTCCCGATCATTCTTTGTTATGGGGGTTAGTCCTGTGCTAGGTTATGGGACGCTTAGCAGCATTCCTCACTAGTATCCACTAGATGCCAGTAGCATTCCCCATTTGTGACAACCAAAAATATCTCCAGATATTTTTGCTAAATGTTGCTAAATGAGACAAGATCACTCATGTTTGAGAACCACTGAGCTACAATGTCTACTTGATTCCAAGTTATCTAACTTTCTGTTCCTCCACTTTCTGGTAATAGAACCTACCTCATCATTTTGTTATGAAGATTACATGAGTTAATATTCTTAAAGCACATAGGACAGTGTCTCGAATATAGTAAGTAGTCAATAAATGTCATGGACATGAGCTATTGTCATTATTCACGAATGAGAAAGCTGATAGCCAGAGAAGTCAGTTCACCTTCCCATGGCTGCCCAGTAAGCTGGTAAGTAGCAGAGTCTGGTTTAGGCAGAAATCCGACTCCCAAGTTTGTACTCTATCTTACTGCAAGACTTAACGTTAGCACAGACTATTAAGCGTACTGAAAGATTTTAAAAAGTAATACTCAGAAAGTTTGTTTCGAAGGCCGGAAGAGTAAATGTCCACACAAGAAGACCAATTAGACCTCAGGCCCGTGTGAATGGATACAGGTTCCACCTCCTCCAGGGAGGGGCCCGTGTCCAACATCCACCTGTTTCCGCTTTGACCTCTGCCTTCACCTAATTAAGGGACCTTCTTCTTTAGGTCCCTTTTATAAAGCAGTGCAATATTCAGAAAAAAAAGGATACCAGGAATTTTGGAATCACTCTAAAGATCAAGATTCTCTACTGATAAGCTGTGTGATCTTGGGCAAGTCACTAAAAACCTTTGAATTTCCTCATTTGTAAATGGGAAGATGAGAAACTCCCTTGCAGGGTTGTTGTAATGCTTAAAGGAGGAAACTCATACAAAGGAGCTGATACAATGCCTTTTCTGTCATAGGTGCTTAATAGTGGACAGACACTGTGGTTATGTTTAAGGTTTCTCCTGTGCCTTTGGCAACAGTGCATTTTGCTTGCACTGCATTGGTAGTCAGATACTTCTTCATATCTGCTTGCAGGAAGACAGAGGGAAAGAGAGAGGAAGAATTGAGATTTCTTTGGTCTGTTCAGATTGCTCATTAATATGTAGCGAGAACCACACATCGACACACACCTGCACACATGCACACACACTCATGTTAGCAATTGTTTGTGCCAAACTCTAGTATTTCACAGTGTCTATAGTCAGGAATGAACAGGAGACGTGGCGCTGGGTTCTTGTGTAGAAAGGTGCTGCTCCTGGAGCACTGAGGTGCCGGGAAGAACTGGTAACAGCACGAGCCTGGGGAGGAGCACTGGGGCTTCTCCCTACACCCAGCCCCCAGGGAAACCACCCTGCCAGCACATTGCCTATGTCTTCTAGCTCTTCTTAACCTTCCTTCTGTGGTCTAGGAATCCACAATGGCGGTAAATAAAGGAGAGCAAGGACAATGAGAAGTGATGAATGGACGTGTCATGGCGCGAGTCAGCAGAGAAGGCAGCTGAAGTGTCAGAGGGAATATAAACGAATGGTGGGGATGGTCCCTGCCAGGAGAAGAGGAAACGGCTGGCGGAAAGGGAGAGGCTCAGATTCAAAACAAGGAAGGGCTTTTTAAAATGCCACGAGCATCGACTGGTTTCTTTCAGTCCTTTTCTTCTCTTCCTTACCCCCCCAGCTGGGAACCAACAGAGCTCGTGGTAAGTAAGAGTGTTGCAGCCAAACAAAACGCCTTTGAAAACAAGAACAAAAACAAACTTCCCATGGACAAAGTTTTTCAAAAGTGCCAATATATTGCTTTGAAAAAAAATAAATTCCTTACATCCAGGTATCTGGACAAGACTTCCACACATTTAGAGGGTATAGCAGATGCAAAAAGTCTCTCTTGATAACAGAAAATGGGCAAAGCATTTTTAATAACTTGTAAGAAAGAACTCTGAGTTCTTAAATGGCATACATTTCATGGCAACTGAAGCTCTTCTCCCCAAAGTTGGGTGGGTACCAGATGCTAACCTCCCAGATAGACATGACATAAGCTAGACTAATAAAAATAAATCCTGTGACTGTTGCTAAACCTATTAGAACAGAGCTGCACTCTTGGTGCTTGGGTTGGCAAACCAATAGAGGCTACATCCAGAGGTGGTGGTGGCCTTGACTACCATATGTGAACTAACAAACAGTCGAGAACTGACACAGATGAAAGTAGAGCCAGGAGATCCAGGGAGCAAATGCTCAATGATATCATTTGGACATCTGGATCCACCTGTGCCTGAAGCCAGACTTCAGTGTCACACAAGCCAATAACACCTCCACCTCCATACACTCTTATGCCAGTTTAACTTGAGTATTTACTGAAGTGACTTGGAGAGAATTTCAGGGAATGGGTCAGCACCTGTTTCTCCTGTCAATTAGTAGCAACCAACCCTCCCCTAGGGAAGCTGTTTCCAGGCTCTTCAAGTCTTTCTGGCAGGCATTGGAATGGGAGGGAAGGGGAAAGAGAATGAAATGTGAGGAAGTGAGTTGAAAGGAATGGGTAGCAAGAAAAACACCCACCAACACTTTGTCTGCTCCAAAAAAGTGAAGGGGAAAAAATCTACTTAGGGAAAAGAGATTACAGTCAATTGAGACCTTAGATAAATATTAAAAACAGATAAAATATGTTCTAAAACACACACACACCAATCTATGTGTGTGAATAGGAAGAAAGGCCACTAGAGTTACGGGTGTTACAGTCTTGCAAAGACAGGGGTTGTTTCCACACCTTTCTCACATTATCATAGAAAGAACAAAAAGTTTCTTCTAGAAGACAGGAACTCAGCTTTAAGTTCCTATGATAAACCTTGAGAGAAACCTATTTTAAATCTGGTTTCAATGAAAAGTTTTCTCCTAAAGCAGATGAATAGGTGACATACTAGAGATTTTACTTTTCATCAAAAAAACCTATGCGAGCATTTAAGAAAGATGAAAAGAGATCAAGTAAGAATGCACACGGCAGCTCCCAAATATTTGGAAGATAAAGTTGAACCATTTGATTTCTTTAGTGCAGAGATGATATTTTGTACTGTGTGTGTGCTTTTAAAGAAAGTTATTTTATGTAGACATGCAATTGATAACTTATTTCCAGTAGCATCTGGGTATAACTGTGAAGAACTTGAATTGTGGATCAAAGGGACCTGGGTTTGATTCTTAACCATTCACTTCTTAAATAGGTGACCTGGGCAAGTTACTTCATATCCCTATGCCTCAGTTTTCTTAAAAAATGGGCATAAAAATAACAGCGCCTTCTTCAAAAGGTGACTGTGAGGATTAAGTGATTTCCTATAAAGAACTTAACACAGGCTGGTATACAGTAGGTGTTCAGTAAACAGTAGTCTTTTTTGTGATATTTGTATTTTATTACTATAATTACTATTTTATATTCCTAAATATAAGCCATAAGAAAAGGAATTATTCCAATAGTTTAATCTACAAACCCAAATGCTCTGAAGACTTTTAAAAACAATAATATAAAGCAACTTATCCACAGAAATATAAGGATCTGGGCCAGAGAAGTTTCAGGAATGATTAGCATTTTCAAAGCACCAAGTATCCTTAGTCATAACAAGCTGCTTTATCAGAGTTTTAATTATATATTTAAATACACACATGTTTGTATTATAATATTCAGAACTTATGAGGGAGGAATATCTTTTGTTTCTTTCATGTGCCAAAGCCCAAATTTTTACTTGGTACAACTGTAAAAACAATAGCTAACATTTGCTGAATGCGCCTGCATAATGGTAAATGCTGTATGAAACCGGAAGCATTTTATGTAAGTATTACAGCAAATTTACAAGTTACTTTCATCACTCCCATTTTAAAGGGTTTAAACTAAGGCTCAGAGAAGTCAAGTCACTTTTCTAATGTTGTCCAGCTTATGAATGGTGGAGTCAGGACTTGAACTCAGGTTTCCCTGATTCCAAGGCTCAAACTACAAAGAACATGTGGCAGCAGAAGAAAGAACAGGAGGAAAAGAGGGAGGTGAAGAGAGGGAAGATGAGCGAAGCAAAGTTTGGTTAATAGAATTAGTGGATTTCCAAGAAAGAAACTATACCCACGGGGAAAAAAGCCGTGTTATCTCACATCTGGCAAACATTGGTATATGATTTTTTTTGTTGTTTTAACCAAAATTAGACTATGTCATTCCTCTGCATAAAACCATCCAAAGAGGGCCTCACCACAATTAAAATCCAGTCCAAACTCTTTACCATGGTCACTTCCTCTAGAACTTCAGCTCGTTGTTTCTGTCGGAAGCCCTTTGCTCCAGTTGTTCTTTCCACCTGGGGATGCTCTCCCCCCAGATCTTTCCATGGCTACCACCTTCTCATTCAGGCCTCAGGTCAGCTCAGGCTTTTCCTGACCACCCTAGTTGAAGTAACCCCTCCTGCTCACCCCCATGCACTCTCTGGAATCTGCACAGCATTCGTCGCTCTCTGAAAAGATCTCATTAGTTCCTTCTTTCCTTGTTTCCTCTACACTAGAATGTAAGCCCCAAGTGGACAGTGACTTGGTGGGT